GATACAGCACGTGCACATTTTGCTTTTTGATATTTAGCACTCTAGCATGATAGCACCATCATGCCCCAAGAAAAACTACAGCAGTCTGAACAAAAAAAAGACAACAAAAGAACCTACTACTGAACCTTGAGCTTTTCTGTACTGAGCCAACAATACAGCATATATACAGCTGCACAGACACCAATTTAAAAGTGGGCAATGAGCAAGGAGAGCTATTGTTACTACAACAATGGTACCAGGAGATCTGCATTAAAGCAGTCAAGATGCAATTAAAGTGGTGTTAAATAAAGGACAAAAGATGAGGAGGTATTGTTCACGCCTGCTGATTTCATCTGAAGACTCCTTCACATAACTTTCAAAGTATTCCTATGCAGGAGAGAGAGCTGTCCCACCATTGGAGGTTTTAAAATAAAGGGGGGGTGGGGGTGTTTTCTTGTTTTGCTTTTGGTTTGTTTGTTTGTTTTTTTTTTCCAATTCAGAACAGTTAAAAACAGGCTACACAGTCCAAGTTTAAAAAAATAACAAAACAGTTGGATAGATCAAGAGGACTTACTCTGTCTTCAATCAGTACATGTAATTGAAGGATAAAGGCTATTTATCCAGAACAAAGAGACAAAAGAAGGTAGTTGAGAGAACAACTTCATGCAGAATGGGTTTGTACAGTACATACCCAGATAGGATCTCTTGGGAGGTGCTTTGATTTCTTCATCCTTACTATCTGCAGCTACATAAAAAAGTTGAGGGAAGAAAAAAAAAAAAAAGGAAGGAAAGACAAACAGACTTGTATGATTAAATGCAACAGTGGGTCTTTTAGTTACAGTTTAGTCAGTTAGTACATTTTGCTTATAAAAAAATAATAGCCAAAACAAAACATGCCAGAAATTTTAGTCTTCATGCTTTCTATAAGGCTCCCACCCCACGATGTTAAAATACAGTCGAGCAGTTAAGAAGTCCCAGATGCACAACCCAACAACAATATACCTAGGGGAAGAAAATGAAGACTTAAAAACAGTGAAACAGACAGCTAGATATTTTTCATGGTCAGAGAAAACAAGTTGTTACCTCAGAGTGTCTAGATATGTATGTATAATCAGCTAAGACAATACAGTTGCCTTACCTCCTGTGTAAAATGCTGTTCTAAAATAGTTTCCAAAAGCCTGAGCTTAAGCCAATCGTATCAAAGACAGAGTAGACCCCATCTACAACCATTCTGCATACTGAGTTTTTTCACTCTAGCCTTCCTCTGCCAGTTGAAAACCACATGTTGACGCAAGAGTGCTTTCCAGTGCCAAAAACTCCCTCTTCAAGAGATCAGAGTGCTACAACGAGATATGAGTTATAATGCAGGTTAAAAGAACCAGCAGTTGGAAGGAAGCAAAACCGGATGAATGACCAGAGGAAATAATCTTCATGTTAAAAAAAAAAAAAAAAAAGCCTATGTTTTACTTAAGGAGCCTGGGCTGTACTATAATAAGAAGAGACGTCTAAGACCATGTTTTTAACAAATGCTGTCCACTGGTTTTAAGTAGAGTTCATACATTCAGGGTACTCAAAATCTATCACAACGTCTTGGGCATAACTGAAATTGAATCTTTGCTGGAGAGAAGTGGAAGGCTTATTTTGGGGAAAGAAAAAGAGGGGTCTTCATAGAGTGTCTGTCTCTCCAAGAACATGAAAAGACTGCTCTGGCCTGCCAACATTTTCAAGAGTGACCAGATGTTTTCAGCTGTCTGTATCTGTGAGCACCTTGCATCAGCCTCCTCTTGATTCTCTGAGTCAAGATACAGCACGTGCACATTTTGCTTTTTGATATTTAGCACTCTAGCATGATAGCACCATCATGCCCCAAGAAAAACTACAGCAGTCTGAACAAAAAAAAGACAACAAAAGAACCTACTACTGAACCTTGAGCTTTTCTGTACTGAGCCAACAATACAGCATATATACAGCTGCACAGACACCAATTTAAAAGTGGGCAATGAGCAAGGAGAGCTATTGTTACTACAACAATGGTACCAGGAGATCTGCATTAAAGCAGTCAAGATGCAATTAAAGTGGTGTTAAATAAAGGACAAAAGATGAGGAGGTATTGTTCACGCCTGCTGATTTCATCTGAAGACTCCTTCACATAACTTTCAAAGTATTCCTATGCAGGAGAGAGAGCTGTCCCACCATTGGAGGTTTTAAAATAAAGGGGGGGTGGGGGTGTTTTCTTGTTTTGCTTTTGGTTTGTTTGTTTGTTTTTTTTTCCAATTCAGAACAGTTAAAAACAGGCTACACAGTCCAAGTTTAAAAAAATAACAAAACAGTTGGATAGATCAAGAGGACTTACTCTGTCTTCAATCAGTACATGTAATTGAAGGATAAAGGCTATTTATCCAGAACAAAGAGACAAAAGAAGGTAGCAGCAGCACAAGATGGACTCCACCAGTTTCAACTTACTTTCACTTGGCAAGGCTAAAAGCAAGGGGGCAAATCCCATAACTGAGAAGTAACCGAGAGAAAAAATAAAAGATTATCTGAGTTTTCCTAACAAATTCTCTACATAGAGCCTATAAGAAATAATCAAATATTACTGGGAAGAGTCCAGGGAGACTGTATTTTTCATGCTGTGATAGTTAACCCATAAATGAAAGTACAAGCATTTCAACTGACTGGGCTTTATGATTATGTTCTGAATTGCTATTGATATGTATTTAAACCCAGTAACACCATAGAACAGGCTAGAGAATACAGAACAAGCTTGTCAGGATTAGGAGAGACTGCTCCCTAATGCTTCAAGAAATTTTAAGTAGATTCCTTCTGAACTAGTTATTATTTAAGGAACCTAACCTGTGAGAATAATAAAAACAAAAGAAAAAAAAAAGGCAACTCCCACATAATCAAAACACACTAGTGAACATATACTAATGTGACTGGGGGAGGGAAATACCGCATTTAATAGTAATACAAGAAAACAGCAAACTCCCTCCCACTGAAATACTCTTATTCTATTCCCTTTCTAAATATTTTGGATTATTTTGCAGAAACATTCAGAGGGAGGATAGAAATTAAAGAAGAAAAATGTTTAAATTGAAGACCAACCATGTGAGAAATAATAAATTACATTATCATACAAAAATTGTGCACCTTCCCCTCTGGATTCTGCAAGGTCAATCAAAAGCTTCAACTTCAAATCTAGATTTTCTCACTGCCCCAGTAAGCTACGAGGAAAAAAAAATAAGCACACAGATTTATCGTCTTGCCTAGATCACTATACATCTTAAGATATAAGATTAGGAGTAGGATAGGAAACACAGGTCTCACTCCTATTCATATTGTGCTTGAAATACAAACCTGTCTTTCTGCCTTGCTTGAAAGGAAATTTGTATGCATTTACATGTTTATTCTGAGCCATTGCATTATAGTTGGCCTTAGTAAAAATCAATCACAGATAAGAAAAATATTTTAGCTGTTCTCAAAGTTTGTGGGAGGATGCAAGCCTGTCAATGAAAACAAATAATTAAGGCCTACAAGTAGGTAAAATCTAGCTAACCAAACATACGACAAACTGATTTTCAGGAAAAAGGATCAAATGACACAATGTAGTCCTGAGGAGTTTCCATTATCTGGCAAGGGAAAGACAGATTATCCTTTAGGAGACTGTATGTCTTTCAGGAAGAGTTGTTTAAAAGAGGGCTATATAATTAAACTGAATAGCTTCCCTTTTTGTCCAAAGGTTACCAAAGGAGCCTGCAAGAGCTTGTGTGTAAATGTGCATAAGGATAATTTCCCCTCAGAAAGGGCTAACAGAGAAACCTTTCTGCCACTTCACAAAACAGAGACCAAAAGAGGGAGAAAGCACACATGCCCCTCCCAAATGCTTCCTGGATTTTAACTGCTGCTAAACCTGGCTGAAAGTAGGTTTCAAGTCGTTCATCCCACCAGACTAACAACCCTTGTGAACACAGCAGCTTGTGTTTGGGAGCTGGAGTGCAGCTCCTCTTCCACGTGAATTCACTTACCTGAATGGTTTCACACTACACTCCACAATGAGCGGGAATGGAAGTAGCTTCCTTAGCTATTAGAAAAATTACTCTACTGCACAGCCAGTAGCTGCTGCCTTCTAATGATGGCTGTGGATATCTGGAAGTGGATCAGACCCTCAATTATTAGGGAGTGAGCGAAGAGAACAGATGGAGAGAATAAATTATACATCCGTATTGGCAAAACAACTGACAAAAAGCTGACAGCATTAATTCTGTTCTTGCTGGTAATAGGCTGTAACATAAAGTGGTGTAAGTCAAAGTCAACACAGAGAAACCCCAAAACTACCCCTCTCATATTTCATATCTGGGAAAAAAGCAGGGACTTTCCACAAAGCTTGAACAAAGAGTAGTACTCTGGCCCCGACTGAAATTATCAATGCCTAAAAATTAACAAATAACCAAAATAAAAGACATGCAAAAATTCCCATAAAACCCAACTAAACTCACACTAATGCCCAAGGAAATAGTCTACAAAGGCATAGTTTTGCAACAATGATATGACAGCACCTCCTATTTTGACAGCCAATAACTCATTAAGTAGAAAATAAATCATGTACAAAAGCAAGTGTTTGCAATTGCAAAATAAAATTTCAGAGAACAGTGTATGATCATACCTAACAACCTGGTAGAAAGTTCAGCTGAAGAAAACAATTTCTTATTCTGGCCAAGATCTTAAAAAAAAATCCACGCTAGCACAATGGCATAACAGCCAGCTCTATATTCAGGGTGTGGTGTGAAATATTAAGGAGATCTCTGATTTCTAGACTGAACCAAGACCCATCTGAAATAAAGTTACAGCTTTACATATTTATCTGGAAAAAAAGCAGTTTCAAAAAAGAAGTTCAGGAAGTGCTACACTGAATTATCAAGAAAGGAGACTGGATTGCAATTCAGGCAGAACTTTTGTCCAAAATACAACACACCATGCTTTCAAAAAGATTTATCCTGCAAAAGCCAGTTCCTGTCACTAACCTGCAAAAGAGCGGCGTTTTATGTTTAGCTCGTTGGACACACGTACTTCAGTGCACAGTTTCAGCATCAGTAACATAGTAATGATCATGATAATGCTTTGCCACAAAAGAGGGGATTCAAAACGCCTTCCAAACCTAAAAAAAAAAAAAAAAAAAAAAGAAAAGAAAATATATAAAACATCTTTAAGATGACAAGTGTATTCAGTTACTTTGATCCTATATAAGCACCTGAAAAAGGAAATCCTAACAGTAACAGGTATGAAAGGCTGAGGAAGAAAAAAAGTCACCAGCCAAATCTAGATGCATGCGGTAGCTCAGTCACAATCCCCTTGCAGGAGTATCCGAGAGCCTTATTATAACATGCCTGCAGAATGATCCTGGAAATTTTGAAACCAGAAGCTTGTCTTTGTTTCCAAAGCCAACAGCATACCTATGATTTTTGAAATGAGAAGCAGATTAATTGAGCAGTCAAGGCAGTGCAGAGTTATGCCGCATTAATACCAGTTATGTGTCCTCTCCACATACACACTGCAGATTTCACGAGGACTTCTGTGCAAAACTTACCTCTCTCAATTTTTCATTTTTAAGGTAAAGTCATAAAAACAATAGCACTTGCCCTATAAAGAAATAAATACCCATAGCTATTAGCTTGCTAGGTTTAATAAAACATTTTCCTACGGGGGGGGAAAAAAAAAAAAAAAAGGTATCATGCTGCGTCCGCCTTGCCTGCCACTATAGACATCTGAGTAGCAAGATAACACCTGCAGAACACAGCGATCAACTCACCAATTTGGGTCTAATTTGGACTAAGGTTGGGAGAAGTAACAAAATCCAAAAGATGCGGGAACCGAACATATGTAATTTGTCCTCTCCTGCCCTCCCCCCAATTTAATTTCTGCTTGCTCACAGATGACGCTTGGTGGGGACTCCTGAGCCCTTCCTGCACATGACGCAGAGAGGTGAACTTGAATTGTGGCCAATCTTGACTGAAGAGCTTACTCTTAAGTGATCACACACAATGTTCTGCCACAGGAAAATCATAGAATAGAATCATAGAATTGTTTAGGTTGGAAAAGACCTTTAAGATCAAGTCCAACCTTTAACCTAACCCTGCCATCCCACCACTAAACCATGTCCCTAAGCACCTCATCTATCTTTCCTTTAAATCATCAAGTCCAACCTTTAACCTAACCCTGACATCCCACCACTAAACCATGTCCCTAAGGACCTCATCTATCTTTCCTTTAAATACTTGCCGACCCCCACCTCACTACAGCCTCCTTTCAGGTAGTTGTAGAGGGCAATAAGGTCTCCCCTCAGCCTCCTCTTCTCCAGACTAAACAACCCCAGTTCCCTCAGCTGCTTCTCGTAAGACTTGTGCTCCAGACCCCTCACCAGCTTTGTGGCTCTCCTCTGGACATGTTCCAGCAATGCAATGTCTTTCTTGTAGTGAGGGGCCCAAAACTGAACACAATATTCAAAGTGCGGCCTCACCAGCACCGAGTACAGGGGCACTGTCACTTCCCTGCTCCTGCTGGTCACACTATTCCTGATACAAGCCAGGATGCTGTTGGCCTTCTTGGCCACCTGGGCACACTGCTGGCTCATATTCAGCCAGCTGTCAACCAGTATACCCAGGTCTTTTTCCGCCATGCAGCTTTCCAGCCACAAATGAGACCTTTCAGTGAAGACCAGTGATGCTCCAAGCTCCTCTTCTTCCTGCATTACTTGAAGAAAGCTCAACAATCCCCATCAGACACTCCCAATAAGCACCAGGGGTAAAGGGAGGAAGCTTTTCATATGCAGGCCTCAAAGTACATTGGATTTACAATAGGAAGGCTGCTCACATATCACTGAGAGCTGTTTCTCTGTGCTCACTTCTGCCAGGTTTTATGCCTGGAAGACAGAGATGCTGAGGAAGGGATTTGGTGAAAAGACATTGCTGTGCTCCCCAACTCCTTCAGCCTGAATTGCGAGGCACACAGGCTTTCCAAATTCCCTCACAGCACAGTTACTAAGGCCATTCTCTGAGCACATCATGCTGCTGGAGACCTCAGCCTCACAGGCACAGCAACCACTGCCCTCTTCTTGACAGTTCCTGTTTTGTAGCACCCTGGCAAAATACAATTTCTTATGCTTGGGCTACTTTCATAGTAGACCTCCATGTCAGTAAAAGCCAACACGGTTCACCATCATGCACTCTCACATAATATTGCATTTCCACTATAGCCATTTCACCTAATAAGGAACAGAAGAGAGACTGGAAAGTCCTTGACTTGATTCCTTGGAAATCTTCCCATGCAGAACAGCCAAGCAGCCCACACCAATGAAAATGGCCAAGTATTTCCTGCCTAATGGCATACAGCTGAGGAAAAATACGACACCACCTTGACCCTCCACACCACTGCCAAAGACACCACCAGCAGCTACTGGAAGAATAGCAGTTGCGTGTACCTTAATCTGCTGGCTTCTTTCTGTCCGTGGATTTGAGGTGGGCCACACAAGAACCATTATCATAACAAAACTGGAGGACACTATGAGGAAGGAAATAAAGAACAAAACTGGTGCATGTAGTCACAGGAAGAGTGCTCTCTGGATAAGGCTTTCACTGCACTAGGAAAAAATGCAGGGTAGAACAACAAAAGTTTGGCCCAGCCTATGCCCCACGCCCATGATACCAAAGCTCATTCAGCCTGAGTTGCTGACTGTGGCCAAGTTCCCCTGAACTATCTGAATTCACTACTGTTATATTTGTCTCTTATTCAGGGAATAAGAAAAAAAAAAAAAGGGACTTGCTTAGAATTACAGAGCAGTTAAAACTGTTTACATCAGGCTTAGAAAACCATTACAAATGCATTTGCATATAAAAATACAGTAATGCATTTAAGAGGGGCTGAGCTAGCAGCTCAATGAGCTAGGAGCTATTATGATGGTAAATCCAGCGCAGGTCACTGCAAGGTTAGTTTCTCCCTGCTGGTGAGATTATTGGCCATTCAGTAATGGGTACCTCACAAAAGTATTGCTTGCAGTATAAACATCCACCCACTACAAACACACATAAGCATGGGCACCTGCTGCCTGCCCATAACAATTTGCTATCACCACAGCCTTACTGGAAATAAGACTGGAAGTATTGCTGCAGATCCTCTACCCCTTAAGAATTGGGGAAAAAAAGAAAAAGTAAACCAAAACTCACAACACAAGAGAGGTAAACTGGAAATTTAAAAATTCTTATATGGACTTCAAACAATACACACCACTGTACTTGTTTTTGTTTTTTTTTTTTTTTACAACCCTCCAGCCAAAGGCAAAAGTTACACAACAAAACATACTCATGTGAAATACATCTCCCTCAAACACCAATCCCCAAACTGAGTCCTGCAGGCAATGCAACCATGTGACCTCTAGGCTAGGTCACATCTACAAGAAATCAAACAGCTGCCATGGAGACCAACAGGCAGAGCAAACAGGACATGGCCTACACCACACTACCATGACAACAGGACTGAAGGGACTACCAGTGTCAAGGACCGCTGTCAGGTTCCTTGAAGCTTTAAAAGTAAATCCAGAACACTCATTTTGCTCGGGATCATGGAAACAAAAAACACGCCAAGCTGCTTACTCTACTTTGCATTGATATTAGGGCTTGCCAAAGCAACGCTAATCCCGTTTAAGACTCCTCATGCCGGCTTCAGCTAGGAGCATTGCAAGGTGCAAGCCCTGCAGGGAGAGCGTGCTGTCCATCTTCTGTTTACTTTCTGCCTCGCAGAGGTGACCCCTACCTTTGCCAAAGCAGGAGCCGGGAGGGGAGGAACATTAAAGTAGATTATGAGAGAAAGATGAAGAGCTCTTAAATCCTGGGGATGAGGGGGTCACCATCATTATTCTGCATTTTTACCCCACAACTACAATATTATGCGACATAAGGTGAACCACCATGATATTTGCAGTACTCCAGGAACTCAGAATTCGTATGTCAGGCTACAAAGAGTTTTTTGCTGCTTACTTAATATTGTAAAAACAAAAGAACTCTTTTTTCCTGTACTTGTCAAATGTGCAAATAAGGGGAGGGAGGAGCTTACATTTTATTAGTATCTTAACAGCCTCAAAATAATTAATGCATGTTCAGGGAGATGAAGACGAGAAGTCAAGATTCAAGTCAGAGCAAGTCATGGAGAAAAGTAGGCAATTCCATTGGTGTGATTCAATCCTGTTGCAATAATCCTGCTATTCCAGCCCTGAGCCTACTCAAAACAGCGAATGCCAGTTGTGCAAAAGAAGCCCAAACTACACCAAACACAAGAGCTCCGCTTATCTCCTTTCCTAAGACATCTCTGAAAAGAAACTGACTGCTGGTGGTGCAGCCAGATCACCATCACCCTGATGGCACCATTTCCTCCAAGGCTCCTGGACGAGGCCTCCCGGACGCCGTTTTGGCTTCCTGCCGCTGTCCCAGGCAGTGCCCCATCTGGGGCAGGGCCTCTCGCCCATCCCCTGCCCGCAGGCAGGCCGGCCAGCCGAAGGCGGCACTGCCTCAGCCCACGTGGCCAGCTCCACTTGCCGCTGGACTGGAAACCACCAAAGCTACTGCAGGCCTTGCCAACCAGGCGCAACTCCTCCAGCTCTTCGGGGAGTTACCCAGTTCTAGGCAAGATGAGAAGCACGCACCCCATACCAGGGCTGCAACAGATAACCTGGTATACAACAGGATCTCTTGATAGGAGAGTTTCTCCTTAATGCATAAACTTTCAGGACTTTATGGAGCATCCAAAACAAGCTTCCCACTTGGACATACAAAATCCTACTTTACTTTTTATACAAAAGAGCAGTGCATTTTACCCTTGCTCTCTGGCATTTATAAAAAGGAGGAGGAATTGCCCAACACTTTTGCCCTTGGTATCTGAGCAAGATTCCACCAGCAGGCCATATGTAACGCAATCTTTCAAAGTTGCAATCACTCTGTCAGCTTGGGCATCATCCCACCTACCCCATGTGGTAAAATCTGGCAAGATTCATTTTAGTAACAGAAGTCTTAAAAGCGAAAGTTTCTCCTTCCCACAGTAAACCCTACAAACAGCCAACACTGGCCCACTCTCTGAAGACAAAGCAACACCTGACAGCAGGGACCTGATCCACAAGTAGCACTGTTGTTTTATTACAGCAAAATAAATTAATATGTAGGAGTCTAACCCAGACAACAGGGAGTCCAACATTTTCCTATGAATAGCCCTCAGCTGCATACTCGTCTCAGTAAACATCTACTCATAACAGGGAGCTTATTCCACTGACTCCAGCACAGAGAGTTCCCAGTTCTACTGACAGTACAGTTTTCAGAAGCCGCTTCATTTCGGGTGAACTGATGTGGAATGGGGAGAGGGTTACCTTTGCTCAAAAATAACACAATCCATAGTTTTCACCTTTTCCCTGACAGAACTTGTTTCCACGGGTTGTCTTAAGGCAACTGTTTTGTAAGAACAATGGACAGTTTTATTTTCTGTTGTTTGGATTTCTGTGATACCACTTGTATGAGGTTTAGGCCAGTGGCCCACATAACTGCATCTCAAAACTTTTGGAAAGAATATTGTCTTCCTGGAAAAAAACAAAGCATATTATACCACTACCTAAAAAATTTTATGGACTGCAAAACTGAAAAAAGTCCAAAAACCTCTGGGAATAGCAGGGAGCATAAGTACTTCTGGCTGAACTTACTCAGGTTACAAATAAAAATGCCTACTGCTGACTTCTAAGAAACCTGCAGTTCCCTTTCCTCTAGCTATTTATTATGATTTTAATATTAAAAAGAAACCATAATTTATGTCATCATAAGCTCTGTTTTAAAAAAAAGAAAGGGTGAAGGGGATGAGAGGGAGAACTCACAAGTAAGTTGCCTGCATCCTCCACCCCCAACTGATTACACAACTCTCGCCCACCTTCTTGTTCCTGTTCTTGATCATTCGTGACAATGCAAAGCTAGTCAGCTGGCAGACTGCGGGCCACATGAGCCAAGACAACGTGTCAGCCTTGGTCACAACTGAGTTCAAGTGCCATGGTGTGCTCCGAAGCCAGCCCACAACTTCAAAAGAGCTTAGGACAGCTTAACCAGATGATTGACCACCTCGAAGCTCAAGCATCAGTAAGGCTCATGGGACATTTTAACAACCAGTCTTGAACAAGAAATCAGAGCTAACTCTAGCAAGTAGAACAAGACAGTAGCTAAGAAAAATGGTAATGAACTGTTTTATTAAAAATGCAGAGGGGGAAAAAATTTGGTATCAGGTTTTTTTTGGAGCATGCCATACATCTTCACATGTACCAAAATTACAAAGGCTTTGAGTTTTGCACTGCCTCTTCCTCTTTACCCACAGCGCAGACCTTCTCCAGGATGATCAGTCCAGAAGTTGAACTGACTGGAGAGCAAGAAACAATGACCGAGTCTGGAGAAGACAGACAGGAGAAGCAGCACTGACAATGGCAGAAGACTAGAACAAAGGAGCAGCTGATACCAATTATAAATCATGATCAGCAGCTACACTGGCACCCCAAAATAATGCTTCAAAGCAGCACTTATATAAAATTACAACAGTAGGTTATTACTAAAAATCAAGCTAACTTGATATTGAGTCTAGTCACAGCACAAAATCTACTTTTCACACTGGTAAACGGAGACCCTGTTGTGTGATGCACATACAGTCTACTTTTCAGAACCTTTTTATTTTCCCAGAATCCTCTTTAAAAGGGCCAAAGATTTTCACATATAGACATAGAGACAGTCTAACTGGAGGAGGAGAAATTGTGAAAACGGGCAACTGGAAACAGGATTCTTATCCTTGATCTCACCAGCACTTTGCTCATTGGCTACTGTCACAGTGCAATACACCAGCTGCAACTCTACTGCCATGTAAACAGGTCAAGAAGATTAGAAAGTAAATCCTCTATTTGGAGGGGAGACAAAACGTCAAACTTCACCCACTGCAAAACCAGTCATTACCAAAAAAAAAAAAAAAACCCAATCCAACCCACCCCACCCCTCTCAGATAACAAAGTACAGTTCTAGGATCACATGGAGTCCACCAATTCACAAATAGGAAATGAGGGAACTGCCCCCACAGCTGAGGTGAACATAGTAGAGCCATAGGGGAAAGATGGGACTGGGTCTGTTACAAGCGACAGATACACAGAAAGACCAGCACTACTCAAGAATGAAAATACAGAGGAAACATGGCATAAAGGTGGGAACTGTCTGTTCCTGTTGCCTATCCGTCTGAAATACATAACATTCCACTCTGTGAGCCTCAAATTCAAGAATATATGAAACTCAGGAAAAATCTGGAAGTACCAACAGAAATTAATTACAGAAATGTCTTTGAAGTTAAGAAAAAAAAAAAAAAAAAAACCACACACAACAAACAGGAGCCATCCTAAGAAATAATTAAGGCCTGAAAAGCAACACTATTAAAACTTGAAAGTTTTTAAGGTCTACCACTTTAAGTACTTATTTTTGGATCAGGGTGGCGGGGAAGTCAGGAGGGATGAAGGTAGCACAAATCATACACTTAATGACCCGGGGTAACGAAGAGAAACTAAAACCAACTGAAAACAGCAGCTATATGTCAGTAAAGTTTTCAGGAGAGAGACTTGGATTAGGGTCTGGACTGGTTTGCTAAGGGGAAGGAGGCGTAATCTTATCAATGGGTACTTTGAAAGTCAGATGGGGGAAAAATTATATACAAAACAAAATTACTTGTAGGAACAGTGTTCTGGCACAAGATTATTTAATAACTTTAAAACAAAATAAACAAAAAACTTCTAATTCCCTCCAATGAATATTACACACACAATTACAGTAGTTCTACTGTTTATGTCAAACTATCTAGAATGCTGTGTCCCAGATAATGCGTCAGCCATAGGTGACATTAAACAACTAACACAAAACCAGAATTGCCAAGCTGCTCTATGGGTGCATTTTAAACACAGCTGCAGAAATCTGAGGCTCTTGCTCTGTTATCTTCCTTTAATCACCTGTATGCCCAAGGATAATATCCACCTTCAATGCTGCTTTCATGACTTACTGGTGTTTATAATGAACTACCAGGGATGCCTAATCTTTTTAAGCAGAGAAGAAAAATATTCACCCTCAGGGAACACTGAATTATCATCATGCAAGTCTTCATTTCTGTTCAATAGAACTAGAAAGAGACGATTCATTGTAAATACAGACAGAAGGGTTTCTGCAGGCTCACGTCTGCAACATTTCCCCATAGAAGTGGCTGTACCACCAAGTCACAGCACGCCTTACACTCCTGTAGCCAGACACCTACGCACGTGCTGTGTGAAGCCATTCCATGCCATTACCGAGCTCCAGGACAACCAGAGCCTACACAGGGCTAGTATATGTCAGGGAGTGATACTATCATATGGCTTAAATACTCACAGTAAAAAATTACATAATCTTATCAATATAACTGCATTCTGTCTCTTTTGATGTGTTGACGAATCTTTTAACATTGACATAAATTATAACTTTTCATTACTCAATAGTATTCATTCTTTCATGCATCTCTTAACTAGATATACTTAAGATCAATTCAAATTAAAGATCTTTCAGTTCTTCCACAGTCCAAGTCTCATTAAACAGGTGCGCTCACTTGGGTTACCTAGAAACTACCAGCATCTCCATTCAGCTGCAAATCATTTGTATATTGTAACTACCGCTGGTGAAACAAAAAAACAGACAATTTCTATTTCTCAAACTGTCAGCTCGGGCTTTTCACTTCTCCTCCCCCTGCCAGTTCCTCTAGTTCTCTTCTGCCCTCTGCTTTCTCCAACAGCTGCTCCACACACTTCCCCCCAGAAAAACATAGGTCCAATGCAACAAGTAGCCCTGATCTAGTGATGACTCCTCAGTTTCACTCTGCCTGCTGTGGTCCCAAGATAGAGTCCCCTGTTTTCTCCACTCCAGCATAGCATTTAACGTGTTGCATGTTGTTGCAGAAGAATCGAGGAAGCTCCTTATTCCTAAAAAGAGTCAGGGGAGCTTTAACAAGAAACTGGAAACCAACAAAAGGATGTAGGCCGTTACCTATCAGTTCTCTGTGGACTACAAAGCAGTATTTTGTAGTCAAAATATTCTTAGAATAACTGTTCTTAGCTGCAGTAATTTCCCATACTATTTCATCTTTGGTTTCTCAAGTACATTCCCAGTGTTGTAGCATCTGTGTAATGAGGAATGTAATTTAATAAAATTCATTCACAGAAATCACGCCCTAGTAACATTTTCTTTGTCCAGCAGCACAAGACCTAAATATGGAAACAAACTTGCTTTTAAATATTGAAAGTGGTGTTGAAAACAAAGCCAGTCTGCTTTGAAAGACAGCCCAGCTTTTGCCCACTTATCAAAAAAACAAATATTTTCATCTGTAGCTGTGCATGGAGCTCTAGAAGTGAGCCCCCTCTGAAGCCAGCTGGCATCCCAGGAAAACACAAGAACATATGGCAAGTGCCCCAATGACGCTATTGCCAACTAGATGCTAGAATAAGCGTGCGGGACCAGGGCCTTCACTCTTGAGAATGGAGCTAAAGGGACAAGGGAAGTGTAAAATACTGTCAGCAAGAAAAAAGATCTTACTTAGAATAAACCCCTTTTCTTTACCAACAAGTTAAAAAGTTGCATCTTGGAACATCAGAACACCGACGATCAGATCTGGCAAGGGCAATGGGACAGCGCTCCCGAGCCCCGTTCGTTTTACTCAACGCAGATCCACTCACTTAGAGAAAGAGAATATTTTGATCTTCAAGAGAGGGGACCGAGTACGTAAAACACATTATTTCCTCAAATATTCCAAGTCAAAGCTTTACACCTAGCAACCGAGTTAAGAGCCTCCAGACGCGCACACACGCACAAAACCAACTCACCAAAAAAGTATCCGCAGAATGTTGGCCACCAGCAGCACCAGGCAGACGTAGGTGGAAAAGCCCTCCGCGTTCTGCGTCCGCCGGATGTCCCTGTACTGGGGGACGTAGGGCACCACGCCGCCGAACACCAT